CATAATCGAGTGTGGGTTAAGGGGAGGGTGGGGGAGCTGTCTCTTATACACATCTAGATGTGTATAAGAGACAGGAGAGAGAGAGAGAGAGAGAGAGAGAATTCTTTGAGTAGCGACAAGGGCGTTGACGGTTGCGTTGCTAAAAGGCCTTCGCCCGGCGAGGTGGCATTCGGAGATAGATGAGTATGAGTTAACCGTTGGAGTTCTGTATTTGTTGTTGAGTTATATGGACACGATCCAGGCATGGTGCGCTTGGTTCGTTGGGTGGTTCACGGCTGCACTGCGCTGGGTGAGACTTTGTGGCTCTTCTGCGTTCGAACCCTTCGCCTTCCGCGGTCATTAACTGCCGGCCACGTCAACATTTCTTGAGAATTCCTCTTCCCTCCCCTCCCTTACTCCGCCTCCCTTCTCCTCCTCCTTTCTGCTCCTCCCTTCTCTCTCTCTCTCTCTCTCTCTCTCTCTCTCTCTCTCTCTCTCTCTCTCTCTCTGCCTCTTTTTGGGTTGGATGTTCTGAATTCTTTTCCCTTGCATGTCACACGTGGTTCTACCTCTAGCTTGTTATATGTTTATATCTCTTTTGTGATGGTTTATTATTGAAAATCCACGTCCTCCCCTCCCCTTCTACCTCAAGTAGTCTCTAAATCCACGTCCTCCCCTCCCCTTCTACCTCAAGTAGTCTCTATATGCCTCCTCGTCTCCCTCCCCTCTACAATAGCTTCGTAGCTTTATCTCATTGGCTGTGTAAACGGCATGGCAGTGGGAGTTTGACCATACTCAGACTCGGACTTCCTGAACGTATCTGACCGAATTTATAGCCTGATTCATCCGAGAAGGTCCTTAGGGCCTCGCTCCTCTACTCACGGCATGCACAACAGACAAAATATGGCGGTGTACGTGTCCCATTTTGCACAGTTGGTGAGTGGTGGAGCGAGGCCCTTAGCTCGGTATGGACTTGTAGTCTTACTTCATCGAGGGCACGGCGACCATACGCAGACTCGGACGGACTTTCTGAGTGTATGTGACCTAAATCGGCGGCCCGATTCATTGGAAATGGTTCTTGTGGAAGCACGCCCCCTCATCTAGGGACGGATAACAGTTGTGGTAGGCGAAGAAAAGGCCCGCAACCTCTGCGTTCTCTCTCTTTTTTTTTTTTTTTTTTTAATAGAAAAACCTCAGCGCCCCTTCTATTCGGGGAGGCGTCAGTCCGGTTGCTTTTCACAGGCAAGCATGCTATACACAAGGTCAGTGGAGAGAAAAGATAAGAAAGGGGGGCCATCGTAGCCCTTGCGGCACTAGACACCTAAACAAGCAGTTCCTCAACCTTAATCTTTTTTTTTTTTGTTTTCGCCGTTCTTTTTTTTTTTTT